TGAGAAATATAGACACAAAGTTTTCTAAATCCTTAATTTCTTAACACATTTTCCATTTTGACTTATTTGTTTTCTTGATGGTAAATAACCTGTGTAGATTGATTATGTGTCATTGCAACCACATAGATCTTTTCTCCAGAACAAAATGGGTGTGTTTAATTAACTTGTAAGGCTTTTAGTCTTTGACTGGAACTCTCAGAAGCTGTTGGAAACCAAAGTTTCTCAGGTACGGTTTTAGAGAATTGTGGAATTGAGACTTGTAATATTTTTCTAGGGCCCTGTCCTTTACATTAATTCCACAATTCTCTTAAATCGTACCTGAGAAACTTTGATTTCTGAGAGTTCCAGTCGAAGACTAAAAGCCTTACAAGTTAATTCTGGAGAACGCTGCTTGCATCTACATACATATTATGCCAATACATAACATCATAGGTCCTTGGGAAGAACTCAATGCGTGTGAAGGCTAATACCATCTGAAAAACTGGCAGATGTGGCTTTACATTGCTCTGTTTACAGTAATAATGGAAAATATTATATGGTTATATATTTATATTTGACCTATACTTTCATCCTTTATTTTTCCTGACAGTTGAAATGAAGATTAGATTGACCAAGATGAGATTACTTGACAGGCTAGCAAAGCCTTGCTTTAAAGCTCATGGTTTTCTTAATGCATTTATTGGGTTTTCCCCATTTTAACATTTCATATTATCGAATATACAGTCAATAACATAAAAATACCACAGTGCCATTGACTCATATAAATCCTTGTAGTTTGCTAAAAACAATTGTACTGGAAGTAAATGAAAGAAAATTTTGTGATACTGTCCCCCAATACCAGTGTCTTAATACAGAATCATAATTCCATATCATTACTACCATTTATATTCTTCTGCTTAATAGCAATAAGATCTGAGTTTTCTTGACACACAAGTTGGCTTTTTTTTTTTTTTGTTAGACATAGTATACAGAGTTAAAAGCAATTTCAATGCACGTATCAAGGAAATTTCTTATATGGCTATAAAAGTAGTTGATCCAGTTCCTTTGCAACTATGCATAGAATATGGCTAACGGTGGTTCTCCTAGTTGCTCCGTTAATAGATACTGGTATTGGAACCATACTAGTTATATCACTTTATAGACTTAAACTTGGTTTTGCTCCATATTTCATTTTTTTATTCATATTTTCATATTTCTCAGTTGAATTTTTAGTTCTGTGCTTGTATTATGTTGTTTTATCCTTTCGCCTAGCTTTCTTGATATTTTTAAAACAAGAACTAAAGTAATAATGGAGCAGGATATTGGAAACTAAGTTTTTCATGAATAGAAATTCCTTAGCCCTCACCTCATAAAACAATATATTTGCTCAGTTTCATTAGTTTCACTAGGCTTTTCCCTCCCAGAAACTTTGTAAGACTAATGTAGCAGAAATAACAGCTCTTTTTTAAAAAGTAAGATTAAGATGGTGACTAAAATTATCCCAATGTTATGGAAACTTGGTTGCCTCTAATAATGATGCTAGGGTATGTTTTTAAAATGATTTTTTTGATGATAGCCAGTTCATAGCTTCCCTCTAAATCTAGATTGGTGCTTTTTCATATATTAGCTGCATTTCTCCTCCATTTTAGTCAAAGACTCAGTCAGGAGCAGGCTGAAAAGTTTGGTGAAGTGGTTAAAATTAGAAACCAAAAGACTGTGAATTCTAGTTTTCTCTTATGCATGAAAGGCAACCGAGTCGCTATTGGTGAGTCTCTTAACCCAACCCTGCTCATAGGTTTCTTGTAATTAGGAGGCAGAAACATACATATACTACCCTGACTGTACAAAAATAAAAACAGGATATAAATCTTAGTGAAACTGTGTTTATGTGTCTCTATTCATATTGCAAGTTGAAGTATATAGTGTTAAGGAAAACTTTGAGTCATAAAAGGCAAAATTGCTTCATTACTTTTATTGATTTATTTGGTATTATTTATCAAATAAACACCATTTTTTTCTTATGGTAATATTGTATGCTTATTTATAATTGGATTGTGGAATGTTTGTAGTGCAATTCTTCCTCAATGTATTTTTTATTTTATTTTTTAAACTCTCACATACTAAACAAGTATTAAAACGAGAGTTACTTAAAGAGATATTAAATCAAACTAGTAGTCCATTTAGCTCATTATTGAAAGGCAGCAATTGTCCAAATCTTCTCACATATTGAGAAATTGAACTTGAGATTTTCTGCAAGCAAAGTTTGTTCTTTCATGGCAGTGTAGTCCTCTGCCTCATTGTGTATTTTATAAGCAACTAGGCAATCATTGACTTACAATAAGTTGTCTTTAATCATGATTTAACAAGCTTGACTTTAGAGATTAAATGAAGTAGATCCTCTTTTCTTTCAAGACACATATTTGCAGATACCTTTTGCTGTAAATGGAGTGACAAGCACAAAATAAGAAACTCTATACTAAATTTGCGAATACAGAGCTGTGCATAGAACTTTGTATTAGGTGCCAAATCTGAGTTTTCAGTATGATATGTCCTTTTTGTAGTTTATAGATCCAGAGAAATTATTTTAAAAAACAGTTTTTTTTGTAAAAGTTCCTAAAACAAAGGAGCATCTATACATTTTATCAGCTGCTGCATCTTTTTATGTTGACCAGTTGGTCATTCAGTATTTTCCAGTCATAACTTCTGGACAGGAACTGGGGCAAACACAGGCATAGAACAAGAAGGATTTACCACATACCATCTTTCTAGCTTCAGATCGTTAACAAAATGAATACTCCAGACATTACTGGGAAAGTGATATCACATTTTGTTTCCATAATATATATTTTAATTTCATAATTGAAATCTGGAGCATGCAACTTTTAAACCAAGTGCTACACTTGTATTGTATTTTTAAATAGTCGAAGTAAAATGGGGTGAGAATGAAAAAGCTAAATTTGATTTTATGTCATCGACATTTAATTAAAATTGAATAGTTAATAATACATATTGTTAAACTGCTTTAATACTGTCAAATCATGTGCTTGTTACATTCCCATCTCTTACATTAAAAATTGCAAGTTGATAACAACTTTGCGTATGGACCTTAGATTTTACATTTCTAATTAATGTGACTACCTGCTCTGCAATGTTTTTTGTTTTCAAGAACTCCAAAGGAAGATGGACAGATCAAACAAGTAAGGTTAATTCTGAAAAACATATTTTAATCAGTAGAAGCAAGAACAGAACAACTTTAATCTTCTGTCATCCAACAACTGCACATAAAATTCTTTGTGTGGTGTTCAGAGCTCAGTTAATAACTGCAAGCAAAACTCTGGTTCAAGGAGCATGTGAAAATTGTTGTCATTTCTGAAAAACAAAGAGTAGTTATAAAATGAAATTAGATTGAGTCAGCTGTTAGTAAAATTATTTAAGCCAACAGTTATTTAGAGAACAAACTTAAATGGCAGGTAATTTAAGTTGGGGAGGACAAGGGAGAAGAATCCACATGTGTGTAGAATTGATATATAGCAGTCTAAAACTGAGCCCTTATTTTGGCTTACAGATACAATCAGTTTGGCAGAAATGCAATTCTAGCACATTATCTCTTACTGCAAGCACATGGCAGCTGCAATGTGACACCTTATAAATGTTTTACTATTTCAAATGGATTTCTGTATGGGGAAGTTCATAAAAATCCACAGAGGCATATCCAGGTGTTGTGAAATGAGATTATAAAAGAAACCTTGTGGAGAGGTTGTTGTGAACTTGGGTACTGGTAGGAGGGAATTGGCTAAATGTTGATCTGAGAGGCTGCAAATAATTATAATTTTTTAAATGCAAACAATAAGACAATCTCTTTGGGAAAAGTTCCTGCATTGTAATACAGCTTTTCACTCATACAGTAACATACAGATATGGTCACTGATATCTAGCAGAAGAGATCTTCAGAAATTATCTTACTGCTCTATAACCATTTTAGAGAATGTTCCTCCCTTTGAATATGTCCTCTGTCTGAAAGGCTGATCCATGGTAAACCTCATTTTAAAGTAATTATTTTAAAAAAGCAAGGCTCTGGAAGCTGTCATCACTATTGACTCAGAACATTACAGGCCTTTTATTATGATAGCATTTTTATCTGAATTATAGTAATTGTTTTTACATATGCATCAGAACATTTTAAGTAGAGTTAGCTTCTCTCTTATCTATTTAATTTGATGACGTGCATGTTTAAGAGATTAAAGTGCATTTTCTGTCAAGAATCCTGATATCTATTATGTTTATTCAATATTTGTTGAGTAATCCACAGTTGGATATATTCTCCCCTCCCCCAGCTGCCAAATCAAACGAACTATTTTACATTATAATTACACTTAGTGCGTTAAATATAGGCTTAATTTTTCGTAAAGTAATCCTGTAGAAGTGTGACAATACAATAACTGAATATTTTCAGTAGACAATTAATTAGAACTACATCCTGTATAATTTTATGTAAAGCACTTTTGTAAATTGATTTTTACTTTTTGCTTCAACAACTTTACTTAAAATAACTTTTATTTTTAGTTATTTTTCGCTTAAATTTCCATCTTGGTCCTGAAATGAAATAAGGAGATTTCAGATTGGAAGACTGCTTAAGTTTGACAACTTTGACTTACCTTTGGGTCAGCTCATTAAAGATTAAGGCATTATTTCTTGTGTTCTTCTTTGCAGACCACTAAAGCATTCCTTCCCAAAATGTTGGAACTGAACCATGGGCACATTGTTACTATTGCAAGCTCTCTTGGCCTCTTTAGTACTGCTGGAGTAGAGGTTTGTTCAAATTTCTTAAAGCATATTTCTTGCATGTTGAAAGAGTTTGCTTTTATCATCAAGCTTGGTGTGCAAGATAATATGTGCAGCACTTGGGCAAAACAATCCAACTTTTGAGGAATCCATCAGTCAGGAGTAACTAATTTAGTTTCTTTAGAAAACTAAATCATCAGTGAATTAAAAGCAGTAGACATTTCAATGAGACTATCACTAGCCTTTTCAGATCTTTTATAGAAACGTTTGTTGTAAAGCTATCACTATAGAAGAAAAATAAGAAAAAAACAGCCCTTAGTTTATGAAATCTCAATGATATGATAATTAAATTTAGTATCTCAAAGTATTATTAGGGTATATTATAAATTTTAAAGCACCAACACACATTTTTTTCCTATTAAATGGCAGCATATCTCTAGCTTTATCTAGTGCTGGGAGATGCTAAGAAACAAACCTTGTCACTGAGCCATGTGTCATTTAAAGATTCTAGATGTTGTAGCAATAGCAATAAGACTTATATACCACTTTATAGTGCTTTACAGCCCTCTCTAAGCCGTTTACAGAGGCAGCATATTGCTTCCAACAACCTGAGTCCTCATTTTACTGACCTTAGAAGGTTGGAAAGCTAAGTCAACCCTGAGCCTGGTGAGATTTGAACTGCCAAATTGCAAGCAACCGGCAGTCAGCAGAAGTAGCCTGCAGTACTGCATTCTAACTACTGCATCACCAGAGCTCATTGTAATAGAGCATTCCTGGTTCAAAAGACATTGCCAAAGATATACCTAGATTTGAAGTGAAAGAATGGATTTGATAGTAATTAGTAATTTGGTAGAACTAGAATTGGTAACTGGGAGAACTAGAGCCATTTCTCCTTCCTTCCCTTTTTCCTTCGTTTTCTCTTTTCTTTATTCTTTCTTGAAAAGCACAATTGAATCGTTACGCCTTTTGTTTTCAATTGTTTTGTTGTTGCTGTTTGTTTCTAATATAATTATGGTTACATTTTTTCTGGCTATTGATAGGAGATAGCAGGAAGATGCTAAGATAAGGTGATCTGTTGGCATGTCTATTCATCATGTATTGTCTTTAGAGTTGCCAGCTTATTTCCTCTGCATCTCTGTTGCTTAAGGCAGGGGTCCCCAACCACCGGGCCGCGGACCGGTACCAGTCCGTGGATCATTTGATACCGGGCCGCAAAGAAAATAAAAATAAAATAAAAATGGCGGCTTTCTTCCCCTTCGGTGAATGCTGCTGGGATCAGGGATCAAGGACACAAATGAAAGAAGGGGAGGGAGGAAGCAACCAAAGCCTGTCCTGCTCTCCGGCTCAGCGACTTCGGTTTCCTCCCTCCTCGTTCCTCTCTCACTCGCTCTCTCGCTCCTCCACCAGCCCAGGAAGAAACTGCTTCAAAGAAGCCGGCAGGGTGGCTTTTCCTGTCAGCGCAGCTCCTCCGAAGCGCCCGTTCACCCCCACCCCACCACCCGCGGTTCAATCCAGTGCTCCGTTCTGCCTGCCTGCCTGCCTGCCTTCGTTTCTGGTTGTTTCGGAGCAGCTTTGGCTGAGAATAATAACTATTCACCTCTTTTACTCATCCGAAGCTGCTCCGAAACAACCAGAAACGAAGGCAGGCAGGCAGGCAGGCAGGCAGGCAGGCAGAACGGAGCACTGGATTGAACCGCGGGCGGCGGGGTGGGGGTGAACGGGTGCTTCGGAGGAGCTGCGCCGACAGGAAAAGCCACCCTGCCGGCTTCTTTGAAGCAGTTTCTTCCTGGGCTGGTGGAGGAGCGAGAGAGCGAGTGAGAGAGGAACGAGGCAGACACCTGAGGGATGAGGCTGAGGGAGGCAGGGCTGAGAGGCGGGGCTTCTCAGCCATCCTGCAGGGACTTTTCCTGAGCCTCCCTGAACTTGGTGGTTTGCTGGCAGACGTTTTATTACCCGACTAGGTAACAACATCAGATGTTATCTAGTCAGGTAATGAAACGTCTGCAAGCAAACCACCAAACTCGGACTCCTCCCCCCGCTTGAAAAAGTGTCTCCTCCCCCTCCCCCCCTGCCCCCGGTCCTTGAAAAAGTGTTTCTGTGTGAAACTGGTCCCTGGTACAAAAAAGGTTGGGGACCACTGGCTTAAGGTGCTTAAAACATCTGATCAAAAGGAGGACATTTCTTATTTTAATAGTGAAAGCAGCTGGAATCACAATGGGATGGAACATTGTGGGACACTGCCAGTGGGACAGTCTTCTGTCAGGGATGCTTCAAACTGGATTCCTCCTATGATCATAAGGGTTGGGCTCAGTAGCCTGAATGCAACTCTGGTTCTATATTTGTCCAGGATTAATTTTAGTTGGGCCCATAAAGAAGGGATAAATTAATAAATGTTAGTGTTTTAATCTGAGGTATACCTGACTTTTGTGTTATAAGCTCCTTCCTTCCTCTGCTCCTTCCTTCTTTCTCAGTACCCTGTTATTGAAGCTTCCTAAGTTTTAAACTAAACTTTATACTATGGATTAAGATTCTGATTTGTCCTGATACTGCTCAGCTACTGATGTGAACAAAGTCCAAACTTTCCAGTTTTTGGAATCAAAACCATTGAGCAAATCTAAGAAACAAGATGCTAGTTAGTGGCTGTTTCTCCAAATTGCCTGAGGTAGCTCTTTTTTCTCTAAAAGAAAACAATGGCTGAATTGAGAAGTGGGTGGGGTTTTTTTTTTAATGCTCCTTGAAAGGCAGAGGGCTTTTTATTTCTTCAAAAAGCTACATCAAAGAATGTTGTTTAAGTTTAATTTTTCAAAAAGACATTTTTATTTAATAAAAGTAAGATGATCGGTTTAAGTCTGTTTTTTTTTTTTTTTCCAAAACTGTGTAACTTGTTTCATGCTTGTTTTTTATATTGCCAATTTAGGATTATTGTGCCAGTAAATTTGGAGCTGTGGGATTTCATGAGTCCCTGAGCCATGAACTAAAGGCAGCTGAAAAAGATGGTATTAAAACAACACTGATTTGCCCTTACCTTGTAGATACAGGAATGTTCAGAGGCTGCAGAATTAGGTAAGTAGGCAAGTTCTCTAAAAATATTTATATACAGATAGTCGTTGACTTACAACAGTTCATTTAGTGACCAAAGTTACAATGGCACTAAAAAAGGGGACTTATGATAATTTTTCACACTTAAGACCATTATAGCATCCCCATGGCCACATGATTTACATTCAGATGCTTGATAATTGACTCACATTTATGATGGTTGCAGTATCCCAGGGTCATGTGATCATCTTTGGCAGCCTTCTGACAAGCAAAATCGATCAGAAAATCAGATTCACTTAACAACTGTGTTATTAATTTAACAACTGCAATGATTCACTTAACAAATGTGGCAAGAAAAAGTTTAAAATGGGGCAATACTCAAAACAAATTTCTCACTTAAACAGCATACATTTTGGACTCAATTATTGTAATTTGAGGACGACCTATATATATAAAAATAATGCAGATATATCAAATACATTACATATAGCATCACTCTACTTGCATTAAAAATTTCTTCATGAACAAAATCATAATAAAAATATCTATTATATTTTCTATCTTATATAGAAACATGGTCTAATATATTTGAAAATATATTGGATCGGATTCTAATGTAATGTTTAAAATAGTTCATTAGACTCCCATTGCTAGTTCACCACCTATGGTTCTGCTGTAATTGTAAGGTATTATTTTTAGTGTAGCATAAATGCCTCTTATATACCTCGGTTATTATTTATATGATATATATGAAACCTTTTAGATTAAAAGGCATTCAGTGTTATAACTCAAAGTTAAGTCTGAAGTTTGTAGTCATGATATGTGACCCTTATTATGACTCATATCCTAAACAATTCTAGTTTTATAATTTCTTCTCTAGGTAATTTAATTTGACTTCATTATTAGTATTTGTACTATGCTACTGAGTTCCAACTATAATGTATAGTACTCTTATAATGTATATTATTTGTCTTAATTTTTGAAGGTGCATACATTGTAGGAAGGATGATTTGTACTAAGCAAGGACCTCATCCTACTGAATTAGTAAAACAAACATGCTTGACAGTGTATTCTGTCTTTATGTACTTTTTATCTGATATATTTTTAAAATGTGGTTTGTTTGTTTTTATTTTTTCAGAAAAGAAATAGAGCAATTCCTTCCACCTTTGAAACCAGATTACTGTGTAAAGCAAGCTATGAGAGCTATACTGACAGACCAACCTATGATTTGCACACCTCGTTTGATGTATATGGTTACTTTAATGAAAAGGTTAGATCTCAGTAAAATGTACATCTTTTAGAAATAAATGGGCAATCAGATTTTGGGATAGATGTCCAGCTCTTCTTTTAATTAACTCAAGTATTATTGCTTGTCAAAGGAAAAGTGATAGCACAGAGAGGTCCAGGAATCTATAATTATTCATAATTTATGGGATTGATACAACCAGTTCTCAAACTTGGCACAAGGCAGTGTTCATTCTATAAAGGAGAATATTTGTAGCTCAGGGTTGAAATGAGAAGTCCTTGATGCTCTCTAAGCTTGACTGCTTTCTTGCAGATGTTTCATTACCGAAATGAGGTAACGTCATCAGTGTTAGACAAAAAAAACAGCCAAGCTCAAAGAGCACCAGGGATCCCTCACTGTTCATTCTTTCTGTCTTTGCTAGCATTGTTTCCTCTTCATTAGCAAAATGTATGAAGTAGAAGTCCTTCACCATCTACTAGAGATTTTTTGGGGTAGTAGCAGACATTGCATGCAGATTCTTTCAGGTGCAAATCAAGTTTCTACCACTGAACTACTACAACAGCTCATCAACACAGGAACATCAATAGGGCAATTGTATTTCTTTTGAAGAAATAGAAACACAAAATAGACTTCATTGATAGTTTACCAAAAAGGAAAGTATCCAAAATTTTTGAGCCTGGAGAATAATAAGGGCACATATTCTGGCCTTACTGGCTTAAGAGGCATGAATTCAGCACAATTATAGTTTTAAGTTCCATAGAAATAAATGATAATATCTAACTAAACCATTTCCAATCTATTGCTGATGAGTCCTGAAAGTTAATAATTTCATTTCATTTATTTATTTGTATCTCACTTTTATTACTATTATAAATAATTCAAGGTAGTGAACATGTCCAACACACCTTCCTCTTGCTATTTTCCCCACAACAACAACCCTGTGATATAAACTGGGCTAGGCTCAGATCCCAAAGATGCAAACTTTGTTATCAATTATAA